TTTCATAAACTAAGTTTTTGTAAATATATATATATATTTACAAAAACTTAGTTTATGAAAATTAAACAATTGTTGTTATTAAAAAGAATCTATAAATATTTTCTATTTTAATTATTAGTATAATTATTAGAATTCAAATATCTTACTTTTCAAAAAAAATGCTCATTTAATAAATGTAACATTATTTTTCAACAGATATAAGATATTTAAAATGGCAAACAATATTTATATTTATATACATCACTTCTGACATTAAAAAACTTTAGTTATAACACATACATACAATTGAATTGATTAAAATAATAACTTTTTAACAAATGAAAACAATCAAACAAATCAGTTAATTCCTAATTCTATATATTTTTATCATGGAATCAAACTTTTATGAAATAACATGTATTAAGCTGTTTTGTTGTAATTATTGATAAATGTTAATAAATCAAAATACTAATCAGATTACTAAACAATACAATCAATACAAATATTTAGATTAAGTGAAAAGTAGATAGAGTATTTGTTATTATTATTGTCATACTTTGTATACTTATTGCTTATTACTGTCCTACTGATGCTTTTATGTAATATTTTTATAATTAATACAATATATAAATAAAAAAAATTAAAGTTATAAACAAATTTTATTCATTATCAATATCAAACACATTATTGCTGTGGATAATAAGCAATTATATGCAATTAGCATTTCTAATGATAAAATTTATAAAATTAATGAGAATGCAAATTGAAAGAGATTATAAATTGTGCATTTTAATTTTTTGTATTTTTAAATTTATAACTACTTAAAACTTTTTTTGTATGTTTTTAATAAAGGTAAATATTACAAGAAACATTTTTCTATTATATGATATAATATATTTCTTTCTTCCAAGAACTTGAGAACATTAACTAATATATCTGTTGAACCTCAGGGGTCCGTGGGCATAGTATGATAAATACTGCATTACTTGAATTATTTGGGTACCCAGGTAACAAAAACTAAGTATCTAGGTACAAAAATGTTTACAGTGCTCAGTACTAACTTATTACTATATCACTTTCAACAAAATCTGATCTTAAAATGTCAGATTCAAATATATTTTCCAAGGTAAAAATTTATTATTTTTTAAATAAATATTCCATTATTATTGTTATAACAATAAAGACTTGCAATCCATAAATTAAACAAAATCAAAAATAGATAAAATTTGAAAACAATCTTAACTTATTTTTCTAATTATTTTAGTACAAAAATTTTACATTTTAGTACAGTGAAATCTCACTTAATGAGCATAATTCATTCCAGAATCTTACTTGTATTACAAAATACTCATTAAGAGAAAAAATTTTTCCCACATATATGAATGTAAAATACAATAGTGTGTTCCATGCCGAAAAAATACTCAAATATTTTGTGTGTAATGTTTATTCAAAGAAAATTATACAATATACATTGTTAAGGAGTGTGAATCCTCTTCATCTTTTCTTCTAGAGCAGAATGAACCAACCAGGAATGTGAATTCAATTTGAAAAAAAAAGGTCTCAAACAGGCAAACGATATGCCAAACTTTTGGGCTATGTAAAGGCTATAATTAAATATTAGAAATTAATTAATTTGATTAGAGATAGGCAGTTATGCTTCCATCTCATATTAAATTTAATAATTATAAATAATTAATTTTTAACTTAGATATTTCTGAAATTTAATTTGGAATTGGTCATTAAATTTAATACAAGATGGCAGCATAACTGCCTACCTCTAGTCAAATTAATTAATTTCTAATATTTAATTATAGCCTGTACATAGCCCAAGAATTTGGCATATCGTTTGGCATGTTTGTTATGTAAAGGACTATGGTTGTTGATGTTTATATGTAATATGTGTAAAGACAAGTTTGGAAAAATATGTGATCACAAGTGACACTAAGATGCTAGCAAAATGAGTGCTAAACACAGACTGATGGTGCATGTGCACAATCCGGGATTTCCCCTCTTCTTGTCACTCATTATGCAAAATGACGCTCATTAAGCAAGTCAGTTTTTTACAATTTGTTTTGCTCATTATGCAAGGTTTCACTGTATTTAAATTATTATTTATATAAAAATCTAAAAATACTTACTTGTTGAAGGCACTGGTGTAAATACTGTATTTCTAATTGTTGAAGGTAAATCATATGATAACATTGACTCAAACTTAATAATAATTGTTGCTGCTGCTGAAACTGGTGTGTATGTTGGTGTAAAATATCTGAAACAACAGGACAAGATCGACCAACAGCTATATTAAAAAGTAAAAATAATTCATTATATTTTTAATCTCACATACTTTAATAGAAATAAAATTAATGATATTGATTAAATTAAATTCCTAAATAAAATTATGTGATTCATCATTGTGATATAATGCTTTATGAAATTATCATTATTTTAACACTTATAATACTAAACTTCATTTTATTTGTAATGTAACTTCTATCTAAATGTTTTTAGATCTGACATTTATACAGAAACTTCATCTTTAGTTTTTGTTTAGTTTTTCAATTAAATTATTCATTCTATACTTCAAAAAATAATTCTATTAAAAAAAAATAATATTTTTCTTTTTGTAATCTTGACTTAGAGCATTTCTATATAAAGTTTTTAAAGTATTTCCATTTTACATAAAATTGTCATTAAAAAAATAATAATAAATAGTGAATCAAACTTAAATAAATATGGCATAATTCCATTCTTTTCCCAAACTGCTAATATACCTTAATGCAAAACTGCATTACAGTTTAGATAATGAAAGAAGATACATTTTACTAAATTTATAAGTACATCACAAACAAAAACACATTGGCTATATAATACCTAAGAAAATCTTAGCTTCCCTAAAAACAAACCCAAAATCATATTAATATAGTTTATAATATAATTAATAATTTACCTAAAGATGGTGAAGATAATGAACAAGACATCAAACAACTTGTTAATGTTTGCTGATCTTGAAATATTGACTGACATAATGTATTCATATGTTCTAACTGCTGATGGATATGCTGAGTGAACTGTTGCCACACAGTTAAATTACAAGTCCCATCAGATGATATTAAATTCTGGACAGATACTGGTTCTTCTAAATGTAATCTATTTGTACCATAAACATTCTGAAAAATAATATATATACATAAAATTACAAATGAAAATATATAAATTTTCTGATTAATAACCTGTAATATTAAGAAATTATTGACCATTTTGTTTTTCTTTTTTCTGTTTTAGCATAAAATTTGGTTTAGGGTTTTTATTATTATGTTATACTAAATAATGAGATTAGATATGTAAAAGATTTAATTATAAAATATTTAGTTAAAATAATATAAATGGTAAATGCAATAAATCACAAAATTTTTGTTGTTCTATCAACAGTTAATAGATTATATAAGGATAAAAATCAAAGGAACAAAATTCAATTGCATGCTATCTTATGTATCATCATTAAGCTGTAATTTTATAATTTTATTACAGCTTAATGATGGAAGTGGTTGGGGGAAAAAAAACCACCTTAAACTTAAATTGACAAAGTTATGTCAATATTCACAATCAAAGATCAAGAGTTGGAGTTAGAAGTTAGCCAATAAGCATTTATGTATAGTACAATGCAGTAGTATTAAAAGCAAATGGCAATTTGTTAACTTCTAACTCTAAACTCTAACTGCTGATCCTTGACTGTGAGTATGACTGTAAATGACTAAATATAAGTAAAAGTCAATAATATAAAGTATATATAATTGAAAAAAATTTCTGTTTTAATCATTTTATAATTTCCATTTATTTGATTAACAGAAAACTAAATTTTGCTACATTTCTTAAATTCTAAGAAGCACATGTTTTTACATGTTAACATTATATTTCTTCAACCAAAACATATTTTATAGTTGATGGAATTTTATAATTTATGCCAAAAGAAAGTACTTGAATTTGATTCATACATCAGTGGATGTAAAAATGCAGGTAAGTATATATTTATTATGATGATCTCCTTACTTCCTCTCATAATGAATTATGAGAGAAAGTGACTCCTTACTTTGGATGATCTCTGTATCTACTGTATGTAAATAAAAATATTCAAATAAATTAGCTTAAATTATTCAAATTAGCTGTTTTGTATTAATAATAAAGTTAGTTAAAAATTTATATTTAAAATAACTTCAAATTGATTATCTTAATTTTATTCTTTAAAAAATAATTCATATTATACAAGAGAAAATATGATAATCGCCAATGTTTAGTAGATTTTCTTCAAATATAAAAAATTTTAGGTAATTTACAATGTCGTTGTATGCATTTGTAATTATATAATACCAATATAATTTTTAAACTTTAATATATAATATTCTAGGTAAGGCAAGGCTTTTTCATTAAATATTTTATTATATATTTAATTATTAACCAATTTGATGATAATACCATATTTGTTTGATTCTAAGATACAACATAATTTTGACCAATAAAATTTTAATGTTTTTGGATGAAAATATAATTGATTATTTTAAAATCTAATTTTTGTTAAGTAACAAATTTGGAAAACAGTATAAATGCCATAAAATATATAATGTTTAGAAGCTGTTTCCATTTTCTTTTGCATATACAATATTACATGCTGTATTATAATGCCACTTTAAAAGCATGTTAAACATTAAGGAGTTTAAATTAAGTATTCATTACCAGTATCTAAACTAAAGATATAACTACAGACCCCAAACCAAGCAACCATCTTTGAAGCAAATTGAACATGCATCCACCATGACTGTATATACAAATGCTCCTTGACTTACAAACATGACTAGTTCTTGGAGTTTTGTTGCAAAACAAGGAATAGCTGCACTGAATAATATACAACCATTCATATGAACGTTTACAAATGCAGTAATCCATCAATAAATGTAATTTATTGACCTTTAAAATGAGCAAGTTTGGTGTACATTGGTTTTGGGCTATGCACACAGTATTGATGATCTGATGTAGTTGAGTCAGGTATTTGAGCTTCATATTGCTTTTGCACACTTCACTCATCATAGATATCATCAATTTGTTCAATATCATCATATATGTTAGTCAAATATGTTTTCTTCAGTGGTTTTACAGCACTATTGCTGTCTCTATAGATGCTGAGGAAAATCAAACTTCATAGAAACTGATGTTTCATGCAAACAGGTATATCCATTCTGTGTGTAAAAACAGTTAGGTGCAATTGTAGTGTTCTTTGCAGTCAGCACTTTTGCTGACTGCAAAGAACACTACAATTGCTTGGTTTCCATTTGTCATGGTGTATCGATGTTAACCACAAATCAAAGTATTGCTTGTTGTTAGGAAGCCTGTCAGCAAAATATCACTTGTGTGATTGTTTTACATACCAAAAAAAAAAAGTACTATATTATCGGTGGGCAATCAAAACCTCGTAATGCCAATATTTGCTCATATTTGAATTACAGCATTAGTGGATAACTAAACACATTTCTCATGATCTGTAAAACTCTCGTAGGTCCCAATTCAAACTTAGATCAATATATAAATAAAAAATAATCAACATAGGATAATAACAAACTTCTGAAGGAAGTTTAATGTTTCTCCTAAAAAATTTATTCAGGAGTTATGAGATTTTAATCACCAACCAACGATATAGTATCAGAGCAACCAAGTCTATACCTAACATACCAGTAAAATATGATACTAAATCCTTTTTTTTTAAATATTTTGTCATACAATCAACTGCATAGCAACTTGATGGCATTCCTGTTATGCTCCCATGATAATTCCTGCACACACAAGCTTAAATAAATAGCAATTATACCAGAAATAGTTAATAAGTCAGCGCATAACAATCTATCCACAGCATATGCACTTTCTGCCTTTGTTGTGGTGGTGCCTAATTTCTTTGACATCAGACTAGCTTATACATTAATTTTTATCTGATTCAGGGTCTAGTAGTTAGATGTTGTTGAACTAAACTAATAGGATACTAAAAAAGTTTGACATGTAGTCTATGTTGAAAAGTTTTATGTATTTCATTGATTATTGAGCAGTATAGACAAACAAACATCTATTATTGATGTATAACACACCACATGGTCTACTCCTAGCTTTTGATTTGTTGTACTAAACTACAAATATAAGACACCTGTTTTTTCTTCTCCATTTTGGAAAAGAAAAAAAATGGGTAAAATTGTGTGTCTTCAATTTAAGGAAATATAGTATTACATTTATTTAGATACAACAAACAATTTTAAAGTATTTTTTAAATGTATTAAACAATTTTATTAAATACTTGCCTCTTGATTGTGTGATGCTGAAATATGATTTCTTTGTTGTTCTTGATGAAAATTTTTTTTAACATTCCATCTATTTATTCCATCACCTTGTGTGTAAAAAGTAATATAATTATAAGCTTATACAAAATAAAATTATATTTTATAATATAATTAAATACATATCAATTGTTAAGAAATTATAAGCATTACACTTAAAACTTAGCGTGAAATAGCAATGTTTACAAAAGAAAAAAAAAGAAAAACTACTAAATTGATTGATCTTTTATTAAAAATTAATACTGTTACTGAAAAGAAATACCTTTCACAATTAATTTGGCATGATAATGAATACAGACATAATTTATTTGTATTGTTAGCAATATAAACAAAAGAAAATGAAAGACATAAATGATAAACAATAGATTGAAATAAAATAACATTTCAAAATGTACCATAAGTCAGCACATAAGTGAGCTTTCTGATAAAAAAAACTATGGTGTGATAAATCCTTAACACGTTGACATGGTCGTGCTGGTTAGGGCTGTAAAGAGTATTTCAACCTCCCAATGTTGCTATAACCTATATAGTTTCCGTCAAGGTTAAATTATCCTGGCTTCATAAGACATTCTTTTATATCCTAGTGGTGGCCTCTTGTGCACATCTATAAAGTTGGCTCTGACCACCGGCAGTTTGTATGGCTGTTTGTGGGCCTAATTACTACGATTGCCAGTGTGTTGTATGGCTGTGCACGGGTCTGACTGGTACAACTGCCAGCATGTCAGATGGCGATTAACGTGTTAAAATTTATAGCAAATTACATATAGCTTAATAGCTATATAAGAAAATTTATTTCAAAATGTAGTTTCACTGATTTTATTGGATAGAAACTAGACAACAACTAAAAAATTGAAATGCAATAAAACAAATATTAACAACAAAGGATTATAACTTCATAAAAAAATTGATTATTAAAATACAACTTTCAATTAATGTTTACCTCTTTTCATACTATAGATAAATTAAAAGATTAAAATTATCTCTATGCTAAAAATTGCTTAAACAATCCAATACTTCTTAGCTGTCTCACTTACTTGTGAATCTTTAAATTTTAATTAATCTTTTTTCAAGGAAATGATTTATTTGTAAAATTGATTTTATTGAATCCAAAAATTAAATGAGTTCAAGTCCAAAAAAACTAATTTCTTCATTAAGTTATTTTTCTGTTTATCTTTCCTCATAAGAGAAGTTATTTTCTTTCTTGTCAACTTTTAATTTCTGTTAAATTTTCCTAATATTTTCTACTGTCTCACTAATATACTTCCTTATGATCATTGCTCAATCTTTGTTTTGAAATTGTAATTTTATTTCACCTATTTGTGTGAAAATTAGATCTTGTATCCTCAAACCATTTTATCACCACATTTGATTTTTTCCTACTATTTTTTATCTCTATTATTTATCCCTTTTAATTTTACAACTATTTTACAACATATCATTCTAAGTCAAATGTTAACTCTTTAAACAGAACAAGAGTAATAATACAATATAAATGAATGAAAATTTCAGTTATTTCTGTAAAATATTTATATATATATAGTAGAGCATCAATTATCTGAATCAATTGGGGACTGGAGTTGTTTGGAAAATTGATTTTTTGGATAACAGATTATGTACGAAAAAATATATTAACCGTGTTTTTCAACCTTTTTCATTAAGTGGCACCCGATTGAAAAATAAAAAATTGTGACAGCCTTGACCAGCAACAGATCTAGAATCTGAATAAGGGGGGGACTAATGGGTCAGATGAATTTTTTGCAAAAACAAATATTATGCGCAACGCTGGGGTGGGATCCAGGGAGGGAGTCCTCTCCCCAGGAGGAAAAATTTTAAAAATTGACAGTTTGAAGTAGCATTTTAATGCAAAAAAAGCGTTTCTACGTGTTCAAAATCAAAATTTAAGTCCATTGAATTTTGTCGAAATACCTACATGTAAAAATAATAGTCTCGCTGTTGTTTTTTAAATCTAGTTTTATTATCAAATATATCATCATTTTATATTATCATTTTATTGATAAACAATTTTTGTTATGTTTTTTATACTATTTTGATGTATATATAAAACAAATATTTCATTACTTTTTTCTTATCTTTTTCATATCAATTTAAAAAATTTAAATTAAAAAAAAATGATAAAAACTTGTTTATTTGTTATCATTGCTTTTGAATACTATAAAAATACTGTAAGATGCATCTACTTTGAGATTGAAACCACACGCTTTTCAAAGTACAATGCAATGCTTTTTAAAGTATATACAAGACACAAGTGTCCATGTCATTCTTCTTTGCTGGTTGGCCTGGTACCAGGACTGGGAATGTGAAGGCCAAGCAATGTGGTTTGGGCAAACTCGTGACAAAGTCGTGTGTACACATAGCATAGAACATTATATTAACATGCAATTAGTCATCGTTTCTTTGCTTACTAGATATTGCATAGCAAAATAGAACTGACAATGAGTTATCTTGAACTACACTTAAGTAAATTTCCAAGAAAATGCCTAAAAGGCCCTAAACTTTGCAACACCCCAATCGTGGCACCATGGCTGAAAAACACTGTATTTACCTACCCCATGTTGAAATTCATTCAAATCCTGGCATGTCCTTAAACACCCTCTCATAGTCATGCCAGTGCTGCCAGCTAAAACACAAACTCTAACAAAAATAATATTGGAGTAGCTGAAGACATAGTCAAAGATTGCAGCACAACAGCACTAGCGGAAATTTAAATTTGCTGACTGGAAGTTTTTGGTTAATTGATGTTTCGGTTGATCGACATTCGGATAATCGATGCTCTACTCTATATATTTAACAATTTAAAATAAATATGTTCAAACTTCTTATTAATCCTATATCATTAAAATACAAAATAATATATAAGCAGTTTAGTTTACAGAAATTTTATAGTTTAGAAAAAGAAAGAATTCTTACAATCATTAAGCAAGTTAATTGCCAGAATAATTTTGATAACTGATATGAATGATATTTGGACAAATACAAGATAGAATTAAAAAATATAAGGTAAAAATATAGATATCATAAATAATGTATATATTAAACAATTTTATTAAATGTAACAATAATTTCACTTTAATCCCCTTGACTAAATCCTATTCCAATAGTACTTCCACTTTTGAAGCAGTTAGGAAAATCATTTACTCCTAACACTTCAGATGTTCTATCATAGCTATTTGGATCTTTACAATTGATCAAAAACATGTTATTTTCATAAACTTCTTAATCTTGGGACTAGCTAAAAGAAATTGCAGCAGCCAAGTATTGCAAGTGAAGGCATACAATAATTATTTCATCAATCAAATTACATGCCCATTTCTGTAGCCTTTTTTCATAAAATGCTTTTTGTAAAGTTTCATATCATGTTCTAATAGACTCTTGTTCTGAATTCATATCACTGTTCCAAAACATATTCAAACCACACAATTTCCTGAAGGGAGAAAAGACAACTTTCCTATTGATTTACACTAGATGTTATCTTCAAATGTGATAAATTCAGTTCTTTCCATTAAGAACTCTATATGTTTGTCTCGGGACTGTAGTTATAACAACATTCATCTTCAGTAATCAAAAACTTGTTAAAAAATTTATTCTAAGCTTGTACAATGAGAATCCCAACAAAGTAGTCTCTGTTTGTTATGATAAAAAGTATGAAACAAGCCAGCACCACTATGTTTCATTTTCAAATATTTCATCAAAATTCCTTAAACTGAACAAAATGAAATATTTAAATCAGCCATTTTTCTTGACTGTTAGCTTTTTCTTTGCTTGAAATCATTTCAGTGTTTTTGAAATGTTTACACATGTTGTAAACATTGGCTTCATCATTGGTCAATCTTTGATTCAGAAGTACCATAAAATTACTTAAACCATTGGCAAATTGTTTGAGTCACATCATCATCTCTAAATTTTTACAAGCATTTATGCTACCATCTGAGTTTCAAGCAATATTTCATATTTATTCAATTTTCAGTTTCATTGCTACATAAAACATACATTTACAAAAATCTTTGATTATCTCTAGCTCATGAATTAAGTTTAAATCTGTCAACAGCTACTTAGAAAAATAGTAGGCACAAGCTCCACCAATTCATTTTATCCATTATATTATTGTTTCATATGTTATCATAAATTCATATATATATATTTTTTTAAATCACATTTGTAAAACAAATTAAAACTGAATATAATGTTATTTTTTTATTAATGAGTTTTTAAAATTAAAAAACTTCATTATTATATACCTTTAAAATTAGGTTGTGAACCAAATCTATTATCATGCTGCCTTGAAGCAGTTATCTGTTCACTTTGCATAGCTTCTTTTCTATATGACTGTTGTGCAGATTGTAATTTATTTTGCATTTGCCATAATTTTTCCTCACAGGGTGCTTCTGTTTCACTTCCTATAAATTATAAAATTTAACACACAAATTAAAAGTCTAACTAAAAATATATTTTATTTTCAATCACTTATAACACTAATAACTCATTTGGAAGATATTTGATATTAATACTTCACTTGTAGATGGTAACATTTACTGATGCATTACTATTAAAAAAAATGTCTCATTTAATAAGTCTTTAAACATTTCATAATTAAAAAAAAAACACTTAAATTTCACATAGATTCATTTATATAGAATATATACAGATAAAAAATATTTATTCATAATATGGTTTTGCTGATGTATATTTTTAAAATAAGTACATTCATTTAATAAACTAAACATAATAAAAAACTTTATGCTTCAAATAAAACAAAGATAAATGTAATCAAATTATTACTTTCATTTTCAAAGATTGAAATCAAAGAATATATCTGACAATAATAATAATAATTATTTCTGGATTTACTCCAGTGCTTTATTGTGTATCTCAGAACTATTTTTAAAAAGACTAAATGAAATTCCAAAAATTACATGTGTTTTAACTCAGATTACTTAATGTAAAAAAATAAAATATGATCAATGTGTCATCTTTGGCATTCAATTGCTTTTCTTAACATTTAAATTTTGTATTTAATACTTTATATATTGGTCAAAACTATTAGGCTAGCATGTGATTGTGCTTCTGGAGAGGCAAAGAATTTTCCAACATCTCATTGGCAACCTCATCAATTCCATGCCACACACACACACACACACAGCAGTTTTGGCTGTTCGTTGAGATCATATGCTCTACTAAAGCTGGGAAAATACTCTAATATTTAAAGTCAAACTGCAATTCTATAGGCTTATCCAATCCACTTTAATCTTTTAAAAGAAAGCACTTTAACTCTATTTTTTGAACTTGAGAAGTTAGAAGCTAAACCTATATATATTAAGTGTTATAAAAAAAACATTTTGAAAACAGAATAAAATAAAAAGATGAAGTTTGTTTTTATTTTCTTTATATTCTTTAAGAACAAATTACAATTAACTTTGTCAATTTTGGAGAGGAATAACGTAAGTCATCTACAGGGTATAAGTTATCATAGCAAATGGTCTTCTATGCTTATTAAAAATTTCAAAACAAAACGTTGTCATTTAGTGAAAATGGAAAAAATAAATGTCCATGAATTTCATAAAACAAATTCTCAAACTGAATTAGCTAAATACAGTAGAGCATCGATTATATGACCCGATTAACCGTCACCTTGGTTAACTGACCGCGTTCTAGTTGGCAAATTTCAAATGTCCGCTAGTGATGTGGCGCTACAATATTTGGCTATGTCTTGGCTACTTTAATATTATTTTTGTTAAATTTTTGCATGTTTTAGCTGACTACACTGGCTCGACCATGAAAGGGAGGCCAATATTTAAATGAGGCTTAATTTTTTAACTATGAGTGGTTGTGTTAAGATTAATCATATTCGTTTTGTAAACTGCACTTAAGTTAAGCGTCATCTGTTCATTTTTTATGTCCGGTCATTGAAAGACCGCTATGGATCGAGTGTCAGTTGTATATACAAAAGGTAAATTGTTTACAAACTGAGTCTTTGTCTATTCTCTGATAAATGTACACTTTTATTTTGTCAATTGTTCACGCTAGCAGATGTCTTGTGTGTAAGATCCAAGTCGGATGTGCGCAAGCTAATAAATGTTTTTGTTAACCGCTTCCTCTCCGATCAATTTTTAATTACATTATAATTAAACATAAATAATACTTAAAACTGAAAAAAAACGAAAGAAATGAGTTATTTTTGAAAAAAAAGCTTCAAACTTTATTTTCCATTGTCTCACCTTTCTGCGAAATTTGACACTGATGAGTCATTATGTTTACAGCTGGATGAAGTTGAGAACAGCTGGTGTTGGATTTCCCGGGACATTCTCATAAAACTTACAGGAGGCGAAGGGTTTATAGTAGGGTGAATACTAGCTGGCTGTATATTTTTAAACATTTTTCAACGTACAGTACAGTAAAGTACGGTACTGTATTTATTTTGTGCAAAATAAAGAAATAATTTTTAATGATGCAATAGCGACAATTATTATTTAAAAAAAAAATTTGATAGGCTTAACATGGAGGAAAATTCAACGTGAAGTAGGTTAATAGCGATATACTAATATACTAATTACATGGGATATAATAATATACTACACTAATAATGGATTTTTTCATACTTTTCGGTTATCCGACTAACCCCAGCCCCCAATTGAGTCAGATAATCGATGCTCTACTGTATCTTCAATTAAAACAGAATTTTTGTTCTTTTCATAAAGTTAAAATATTTTAAACAATTTTCTATTTTTTGGTTAAACTAAAAAATACTAGATTTTTCTGGAACTGTGAATAAATTTTGTTGAAGAAGATTAAGTGTAAGATTAAGATAATGCAGTGACAGTGATATATCAATTAATAGACTTTTTTTTTTGAGAACTTTACTCATTAACATCAAGTATGGTGACATCAGCAATTGAAGTAGACTAAAGTTCAAGTTATTTTGCTATTGTTTTGAATGTCCAGATTACAGATGAAGTTAATGAAGCTATTGGAACATTTAGGAAGAATTCAGCAGCAGGTACAAACAATTTCTCTCTTTCCTTAATTTAACTTGAAGGTGAAAAATTAAATGACCAATAAGATTTCATCAGAGTGGAAAGTAATTTTGATAATAATCATATGCAAAAAAGAAATGGATGATCCTTAAAATTATCATCTGATTTCTCTTTTGCCTGTAATTTGAAAAGTTTTTATTTCAATACTTGCAAATGGATTTAAAGAATGGCTAAAGCTCAAAAATACAAATGACCAGCAATTTGGATATCAAGAGAACAAATGAACAATGTTTATGGTTTTTATTTTGTATATATTCATTCATATGTAATTAATTATGTAAGGAAAGACAATGACAATATGTTATGTGGATCAATGTTAAACATTAATGATTCATTCATATTAAACAATAAGATTATTAACTTCAATCTTAAAAAATGTTTTATTCAACTCTGATTAAATAAATTCTTTATAGTTATGAGAAAATGTAGTATACCATTATATGGAACAAATTGTTTTTAAACAATACTGTTATTCTCTACAAACATTTGCTTTTCAATTGTGAAAAATTGGTAGAAATTAAGAAAACATAAAATTTAATGTAGGAAACAATGTTCATAACTTGCAAAAAAATCAGACTAATAGTNATATTCATTGACACAATTTAATTATAGCACATATTCTTCATTGAATATATAATTTTGACATATCACAATCCCTCTGCAGCAACTAGAAAATGTTGATGCAATTTTATGATGTTTGTGCAATTGAAAGTGTCTCCCCTAATAATCAATAATGCAAAAGTTGTAACTGTATGAGCTGTACAGTGTAATGGTGCAAGTATAAAAAAAATTGGCCTCATTATTTAATTGGCACACATTACATATCTATAAGTAGAAAAACAAATCAACAATTTTCTATCAAATTCACATATTATATAAGATAATAAAGAGAATTATTGGTAATAGCTGTACTTTTCTCCAAACATTTCTTTGAATCCCATTTTATAATCAGCTGCTGATAAAAATATTACTAGAACAGAATTCTTCTATTTGTTCAATCCAATTTAACTGAATTTAATCTAAAATGTAAGTAAATATTTTAATTTTACACATCATCAATTGAAATATGTAACAGCTGGGAGTATAGTTCTCAGCAAGCAGCTACACATGCAAGTTATGTTGTAGCATACAATATTGCTAAAAGTAACAAAGCTCTCTCTGATGGAGAGTTTGTTAAACAATGCATGCTCAAAGTTTGCGATATTTTATGTCCTNCAACGACAAAAACAATCTTTAATAACGTACATTCAACTTCTCCGTAATGCGTCGAACGAAACTGTAAGTGGAGACAAGTCGATAACGTAACAGACTAGATAATAAAAGTAAGAAGAGTTGTTGAAAATGCGGCTTGGACAGATTTTCTTAAATCAATCAAGCTTTTCTATGAACAACACTCATCCTCAAATATTCACTTTTATAAGATTGATAAATAGCATCCAAAACTTCTGGGATAATGACTGATATCGAATGATGGGCCACTCTAAATTGGTATGCCAAACTACGAAACATTTCTCCTACATTATATATGGCCATTTTAATATTAAAGATTGCATAAAATATAAATTAAATACAAAATATATATTATTTTTACAAGTGGCTAAATAATGAAGTGTCAACGAAAGACGTTTTCCAGGTGAAATAGAACTTCAAAGATGTGTATCTTCTTTAGCTATTATAGGTGTTATTTTTATTAAAATACTTTGGAAAGTATTCGTATCCTTATGGATATATCCCCTATAACAGTGTTTTTCAACCTTTTTCATTGAGTGGCACACCTAATTGAAAAATAATAAATCGTGACACCCTTGACCAGCGGCAGATCTAGAATCTGAATAAGGGGGGAACTAATGGGCCAGATGAATTTTTTGCGAAAACAAATATTACGCGCAACGCAAAAGTGTTTCTACGTGTTCAAAATCAAAATTTAAGTTTCATTGAATTTTGTCGAAATAATTACATTTAAAATAATAGTCTCGCTATTGTTTTTTAAATATAGTTTTATTATCAAATATATTATCATTTTATATTATTATTTTATTGATAAACAATTTTTGTCACGGTTTTTATACTATTTTGATGCATATATAAAATAAATATTTCATTACTTTTTTCTTACCTTTTTCATATCAATTTAGAAAATTTAAATTAAAAAAAAACGATAAAAACTTGTTTATTTGTTATCATTGCTTTTGAATACTATAAAAATACTGTAAGATGCATCTACTTTGAGATTGAAACCACACGCTTTTCAAAGTACAATGCAATGCTTTTTAAAGTATATACAAGACACAAGTGTCCATGTCATTCTTCTTTGCTGGTTGGCCTGGTACCAGGACTGGGAATGTGAAGGCCAAGCAATGTGGTTT